GAGGGAGCAGCAGGTGTTGGTCACGAGGTAGCAGCAGGGGTTAGTTACGTAGTAGCAGCAGGTGTTGGTTACGAGGTAGCAGCAGGGGTTAGTTACGTAGTAGCAGCAGGTGTTGGTTACGAGGGAGCAGCAAGTTTTGGTTACGAGGTAGCAGCAGGTGTTGGTCACGAGGTAGCAGCAGGTGTTGGTCACGAGGTAGCAGCAGGTGTTGGTCACGAGGTAGCAGCAGGTGTTGGTCACGAGGTAGCAGCAGGTGTTGGTCACGAGGTAGCAAGCAGGTGTTGGTCACGAGGTAGCAGCAGGTGTTGTTGGTCACACGAGGTAGCAGCAGGTGTTGGTCACGAGGTAGCAGCAGGTGTTGGTCACGAGGTAGCAGCAGGTGTTGGTCACGAGGTAGCAGCAGGTGTTGGTCACGAGGTAGCAGCAGGTGTTTGGTCACGAGGTAGCAGCAGGTGTTGGTCACGAGGTAGCAGCAGGTGTTGGTCACGAGGTAGCAGCAGTGTTGGTCACGAGGTAGCAGCAGGTGTTGGTCACGAGGTAGCAGCAGGTGTTGGCAGTGAGCAACTCCTCGAATTTTGACCGATCCGAGAAATCATCATCACAATAACTTCCATTTTTGCTTGATAAACATTTCAACATACAGAAAAGATTTAACTAGTTCCCCCTCAACAAACCATCATTTATCAGAGCAGCGCCACACTGCCAGGATTAACCACCATCCAGTCCACTGCCTGAGAATGGGCTTGGTAAGCGGGAGCTTCATTTTCTGATACGATGATGCTGTAAATCTCGTTTTTTTTTATTTTCACTCGTCAACTAGAACAAGATGACTTGATGAGGAATTAGGTCACACCAAGTTCAGTGTTGTCATTACGATTTCGTGAGTCACTGGAATTTATTGACTACTAGTTTAAATACACAGCTATTTAAAGGCTTATTTATTAGCCAACAGAATAGGCAAAGGCCGGCAACTCGGATTGGGAAATAATATGATTGCCCTTTGGTGTCCTGTAGCTCGGTTTGGTGTAGCACTAAGCTCGCACATTTAGTGTTTCGTGGTTCGATCTCTGGTACGGATGGAGACATTTGGGCGTTTCCCTTAAGACACCTCCTGTCCCTGTTCACCTAGCAGTAAGTAGGTATGTTGGTGTTAGCCGATCGGTGTGGGTCGCATCCTGGGGGACAAAATTAACCTAAGCTGCCAGAAATGCTCTACATAACTAGAGCCTTTAAAGTATGTCAGCTATGGTCGGTATAAGTTGTATCATATACTTGTAAAAATAAAGATTATTATTATTATTAGTAGTAGTAGTAGTAGTAGTAGTATTAGTATTAAAATAGTGTCTGGTGGGTATTTCTGCTTGTACTGCATAAGTTTCTAGCTAACAAGAATGAAAACTAGTAAGAAGTGTTTGATAGTTTGGTTGGTTGACTTGTACAAAGACTGGAGGAAAAACTTGGTGGAATTACACTGTTTACGCTGACACTTGGGTCTTCAGATTAAATTTGAGAGAGATGAAGAAGAGGACTATGAAAACTTCCTACTGACATTCAAACCATGAAGAAGAAATATGTGGGGGAGATGGAATGAAGACTTGAGAGGCGACTACAAACTGCACTACACATGGACTACAACCAGGACCCGAGAATATAACAAAATATGCCGTTCAAATGTCTTCATCTATCTCCTCCATAGTACTCACAGTGACACAATGACAGTGACACGGTGCACAGTGACACGGTGCACAGTGACACGGTGCACAGTGGACACGGTACACAGTGACACGGTGTGCACAGTGACACGGTACACAGTGACACGGTACCACAGGGACACGGTACACAGTGACACGGCGCAGTGACACGGTACACAGTGACACGGTACACAGTGACACGGTGCACAGTGACACTGTGCAGTGACACGGTGCACAGTGACACGGTGCAACAGTGACACGGTGCAACAGTGACACGGTACAACAGTGACACGGTGCACAGTGACACGGTACACAGTGACACGGTGCAACAGTGACACGGTGCACAGTGACACGGTGCACAGTGACACGGTGCACAGTGACACGTGCACAGTGACACGGAACACAGTGACACGGTACACAGTGACACGGTGCACAGTGACACGGTACATAGTGACACGGTGCACAGTGACACGGTGCACAGTGACACGGTACACAGTGACACGGTGCACAGTGACACGGTACACAGTGACACGGTGCACATTGACACGGTACACAGTGACACGGTGCACAGTGACACGGTGCACAGTGACACGGTACACAGTGACACGGTGCACAGTGACACGGTACAACAGTGACACGGTAGTCGGGAACTATACGCAGGAAGGAATACATATAAATGACCTCATAGGGGACAGGAGCCATAGTAGGGAAACAAGTGTAGTCAAAGATAAGATAAAACCAATATTGCAAACTAGAAATACCGCAGGAAATAGCAAACAAGAGGACTCCACTTAGCAATAGTGAGGATATATTACCAAAAACAACTGGTGGGAGCTCCATTGTTGGTGCTAGGAGGAATAGAAGTAAGACAGGGAAACATGCACCAACAGGGAATACAGTCACAGAAACCCAAGGCAAACGGAAACCAAGCCTGTGCACATACTATGCACTTGGTATCTGCTGGCATGGAAAATCTGGAAAAACAGATGGACGTGCAACTATGACCACCCTAGAAAATGCCATGCCATATGACAACAGGAAAATGCAAACTCCCTTCCTGTAAGCTTTTTCACACCTGAACTGTGTACCTCTTCAGTACAGGAAAGACTGTGCTATAACTTAAATTGCCAGGCATACCATCTAAAGGGACAAAAAGATACAAAACATCCAGGCCATGGAAAAACCTGGGTAGCCACAGCCACTCAAGAGGGAAGGTTTTTTAGTGCCAGGAAGGAAAAAAAATGGGAGGAAAGGCAGAAATCGTACACCAAATCCAGTCATTCCTGGAGTGCAACCACAGTCGATGCCTCCACTCCAAAACCAACAGAATACAGATACTAATGCCGGAAAAAATCCCCCCCCCAGTACAACAATTTCCACCAGTCCGATAACATTCTTCTTTGCAAATATCAGGGTCTAAAGCCAGCAACAAACAACAAAATACCTTTTTATCCGTGGACTGCTTGCAGAGGCAAAGGCAATGTTCGCGGCTTTCACTGAACCACATAAAGGATTCACTTGGACAACGAAATATGGATCCAGGTTACAACCTATACAGATGTGACAGAGTGAAACAGGCAAAAGGGGAGGGGGGTTGGCCTGTACATTGCAGAGTCACTTGTTTGCACAGAACTGCTTAATGCCTCAAATGATGTTTTGGAAAGTTTTAGCAGTAAAGGTCGAGAACCAAAACCTAGTCATTGTGGTAGTCTACAAGTCTTCGGATGCAACATCCCAGCAATTCCAGGAACAGCTGTTAAAAATTGACCACTGTCTGGAAAATCTTCCAGCTCCTGCACCCAAAAATCTTGCTCCTGGGGGATTTCAACTTAAGGCACCTAAAATGGAGGAATATAGCAAATAATATTGTTGCAGTAATAACACCAGGAGGCAGCTCTGATGAAAACTCACACTCACACGAGCTTTTAAATCTCTGACTCAAGAAATCGTAATGACACGATTGCAAATAAACCATACCCCCGGCCGGGATTGAACCCGCGGTCATAGTCTCAAAACTCCAGCCCGTCGCGTTAGCCACTAGACCAGCTAGCCACAATAAGATTCATCCAACTAGGTATATTTCTACACCATAGGAAAGTTAGCACAGGCACCTCTGTGACCACAAATGCAAGTTTTTACAGACGAATCTCCAGCTAGCGTGGCCGTGACGAACTCTAGCTCAAGTCCCTTCACTGCCGTCAACATGACTCAAGAAATCGTAATGACACGATTGCAAATAAACCATACCCCCGGCCGGGATTGAACCCGCGGTTCTAGTGGCTAACGCGACGGGCTGGAGTTTTGAGACTATGACCGCGGGTTCAATCCCGGCCGGGGGTATGGTTTATTTGCAATCGTGTCATTACGATTTCTTGAGTCATGTTGACGGCAGTGAAGGGACTTGAGCTAGAGTTCGTCACGGCCACGCTAGCTGGAGATTCGTCTGTAAAAACTTGCATTTGTGGTCACAGAGGTGCCTGTGCTAACTTTCCTATGGTGTTAGAAATATACCTAGTTGGATGAATCTTATTGTGGCTAGCTGGTCTAGTGGCTAACGCGACGGGCTGGAGTTTTGAGACTATGACCGCGGGTTCAATCCCGGCCGGGGGTATGGTTTATTTGCAATCGTGTCATTACGATTTCTTGAGTCATGTTGACGGCAGTGAAGGGACTTGAGCTAGAGTTCGTCACGGCCACGCTAGCTGGAGATTCGTCTGTAAAAACTTGCATTTGTGGTCACAGAGGTGCCTGTGCTAACTTTCCTATGTGTGTAGAAATATACTAGTTGGATGAATCTTATTGTGGCTAGCTGGTCTAGTGGCTAACGCGACGGGCTGGAGTTTTGAGACTATGACCGCGGGTTCAATCCCGGCCGGGGGTATGGTTTTTTTTAAATCTCTGCACAAAATTCGTAGCAGCAGGTGTTGGTCACAAAGGTAGCAGCAGGTGTTGGTCACGAGGTAGCAGCAGGTGTTGGTCACGAGGTAGCAGCAGGTGTTGGTCACGAGGTAGCAGCAGGTGTTGGTCACGAGGTAGCAGCAGGTGTTGGCAGTGAGCAACTCCTCGAATTTTGACCGATCCGAGAAATCATCATCACAATAACTTCCATTTTTGCTTGATAAACATTTCAACATACAGAAAAGATTTAACTAGTTCCCCCTCAACAAACCATCATTTATCAGAGCAGCGCCACACTGCCAGGATTAACCACCATCCAGTCCACTGCCTGAGAATGGGCTTGGTAAGCGGGAGCTTCATTTTCTGATACGAATGATGCTGTAAATCTCGTTTTTTTTTATTTTCACCGTCAACTAGAACAAGATGACTTGATGAGGAATTAGGTCACACCAAGTTCAGTGTTGTCATTACGATTTCGTGAGTCACTGGAATTTATTGACTACTAGTTTAAATACACAGCTATTTAAAGGCTTATTTATTAGCCAACAGAATAGGCAAAGGCCGGCAACTCGGATTGGGAAATAATATGATTGCCCTTTGGTGTCCTGTAGCTCGGTTGGTGTAGCACTAAGCTCGCACATTTAGTGTTCGTGGTTCGATCTCTGGTACGGATGGAGACATTTGGGCGTTTCCTTAAGACACCTCCTGTCCCTGTTCACCTAGCAGTAAGTAGGTATGTTGGTGTTAGCCGATCGGTGTGGGTCGCATCCTGGGGGACAAAATTAACCTAAGCTGCCAGAAATGCTCTACATAACTAGAGCCTTTAAAGTATGTCAGCTATGGTCGGTATAAGTTGTATCATATACTTGTAAAAATAAAGATTATTATTATTATTAGTAGTAGTAGTAGTAGTAGTAGTATTAGTATTAAAATAGTGTCTGGTGGGTATTTCTGCTTGTACTGCATAAGTTTCTAGCTAACAAGAATGAAAACTAGTAAGAAGTGTTTGATAGTTTGGTTGGTTGACTTGTACAGAAGACTGGAGGAAAAACTTGGTGGAATTACACTGTTTACGCTGACACTTGGTCTTCAGATTAAATTTGAGAGAGATGAAGAAGAGGACTATGAAAACTTCCTACTGACATTCAAACCATGAAGAAGAAATATGTGGGGGAGATGGAATGAAGACTTGAGAGGCGACTACAACTGCACTACACATGGACTACAACCAGGACCCGAGAATATAACAAAATATGCCGTTCAAATGTCTTCATCTATCCTCCATAGTACTCACAGTGACACAATGACAGTGACACGGTGCACAGTGACACGGTGCACAGTGACACGGTGCACAGTGACACGGTACACAGTGACACGGTGCACAGTGACACGGTACACAGTGACACGGTACACAGTGACACGGTGCACAGTGACACTGTGCAGTGACACGGTGCACAGTGACACTGTACACAGTGACACGGTACACAGTGACACGGTACACAGTGACACGGTACACAGTGACACGGCGCACAGTGACACGGTACACAGTGACACGGTACACAGTGACACGGTGCACAGTGACACGGTGCACAGTGACACGGTACACAGTGACACGGTACACAGTGACACGGTACACAGTGACACGGTACACAGTGACACGGTACACAGTGACACGGTGCACAGTGACACGGTGCACAGTGACACGGTGCACAGTGACACGGTGCACAGTGACACGGTGCACAGTGACACGGTACACAGTGACACGGTACAGTGACACGGTGCACAGTGACACGGTACACAGTGACACGGTGCACAGTGACACGTGCACAGTGACACGGTACACAGTGACACGGTGCACAGTGACACGGTACACAGTGACACGGTGCACAGTGACATGGTACACAGTGACACGGTGCACAGTGACACGGTGCACAGTGACACGGTACACAGTGACACGGTGCACAGTGACACGGTACACAGTGACACGGTAGTCGGGAACTATACGCAGGAAGGAATACATATAAATGACCTCATAGGGGACAGGAGCCATAGTAGGGAAACAAATGTAGTCAAAGATAAGATAAAACCAATATTGCAAACTAGAAATACCGCAGGAAATAGCAAACAAGAGGACTCCACTAGCAATAGTGAGGATATATTACCAAAAACAACTGGTGGGAGCTCCATTGTTGGTGCTAGGGAGGATAGAAGTAAGACAGGGAAACTTGCACCAACAGGGAATACAGTCACAGAAACCCAAGGCAAACGGAAACCAAGCCTGTGCACATACTATGCACTTGGTATCTGCTGGCATGGGAAATCTGGAAAAACAGATGGGACGTGCAACTATGACCACCCTAGAAAATGCCATGCCCATATGACAACAGGAAAATGCAAACTCCCTTCCTGTAAGCTTTTTCACCCTGAACTGTGTACCTCTTCAGTACAGGAAAGACTGTGCTATAACTTAAATTGCCAGGCATACCATCTAAAGGGGACAAAAAGATACAAAACATCCAGGCCATGGGAAAACCTGGGTAGCCACAGCCACTCAAGAGGGAGAGGTTTTTTTAGTGCCAGGAAGGAAAAAAAACTGGCAGGAAATGGCAGAAATCGTACACCAAATCCAGTCATTCCTGGAGTGGAACCACAGTCGATGGCCTCCACTCCAAACCAACAGATACAGATACTAATGCCGGAAAAAAAATCCCCCCCCAGTACCAACAATACCACCAGTCCGATAACATTCTTCTTTGCAAATATACAGGGTCTAAAAGCCAGCAACAAACAACAAAATACCTTTCATCCGTGGACTGCTTGCAGAGGCAAAGGCAATGTTCGCGGCTTTCACTGAGACCCACATAAAGGATCACTTGGACAACGAAATATGGATCCCAGGTTACAACCTATACAGATGTGACAGAGTGAATAGGCAAAAGGGGGGGTTGGCCTGTACATTGCAGAGTCACTTGTTTGCACAGAACTGCTTAATGCCTCAAATGATGTAGTGGAAGTTTTAGCAGTAAAGGTCGAGAACCAAAACCTAGTCATTGTGGTAGTCTACAAGGGCCTCCGGATGCAACATCCCAGCAATTCTAGGAACAGCTGTTAAAAATTGACCACTGTCTGGAAAATCTTCCAGCTCCTGCACCCAGCATCTTGCTCCTGGGGGATTTCAACTTAAGGCACCTAAAATGGAGGAATATAGCAAATAAATATTGTTGCAGTAATAACACCAGGAGGCAGCTCTGATGAAAACTCACACTCACACGAGCTTTTAAATCTCTGCACAAAAATTCAATTTAAACCAGCAAATAATAGAGCCTACTAGACTGGAGAATACACTAGACCTCATCTTCACTAACAATGTTGAACTGATAAGAAATGTCACCATATCAAAAACAATATACTCAGATCACAACATAATTGAGGTTCAGACATGTATGCGTGGAGCCCCAGACCGACATAATGAGACTAGTCACGAGGGAGCATTCACCAAATTCAACTTCAATAACAAAAACATAAAGTGGGACCAAGTAAACCAATTCCTAACCGATATAAGCTGGGAAGATATACTAAGCAACACAGACCCCAACTTATGCCTAGAACAGATTAACTCGGTGGCACTCGATGTTTGCACAAGGCTTATTCCTTTAAGAAAAAGGAGGAGTAGATGTAAAATAGAAAGAGACAGGCGCTCCCTTTACAGGCGACGGAAAAGAATAACAGAGCGGCTAAAAGAGGTCAATATATCTGAAATGCGTAGGGAGACACTGGTCAGAGAAATAGCAAGCATCGAACTTAAGCTAAAAGAATCCTTCAGGAGTCAGGAATCGCGGGAAGAACTAAAAGCCATAAATGAAATCGAAAGAAACCCAAAGTATTTCTTCTCCTATGCCAAATCAAAATCGAGAACAACGTCCAGTATTGGGCCCCTACTTAAACAAGATGGGTCCTACACAGATGACAGCAACGAAATGAGTGAGCTACTCAAGTCCCAGTATGACTCAGTTTTTAGCAAGCCGCTAACCAGACTGAGAGTCGAAGATCAAAATGAATTTTTTGAGAGAGCCACAAAATTTGATTAACACAAGCCTATCCGATGTTATCCTGACGCCAAATGACTTCGAACAGGCGATAAATGACATGCCCATGCACTCTGCCCCAGGGCCAGACTCATGGAACACAGTGACACGGTGCACAGTGACACGGTGCACAGTGACACGGTGCACAGTGACACGGTGCACAGTGACACGGTACACAGTGACACGGTGCACAGTGACACGGTGCACAGTGACACGGTACACAGTGACACGGTACACAGTGACACGGTGCACAGTGACACGGTACACAGTGACACGGTGCACAGTGACACGGTGCACAGTGACACGGTACACAGTGACACGGTGCACAGTGACACGGTGCACAGTGACACGGTGCACAGTGGCACAGTGTTGTTCTGACAAGAACAAGGGCAGCTTTTATAATTTCAATTTAAAATGTAATAAATTACCAAGCATAATAATCACTCTACTTTCTAACAAACTTTGACGCAACACAAACTTTGACGCAACACAAACTTTGACGCAACACAAACTTTGACGCAACACAAACTTTGACGCAACACAAACTTAGATTGCTAAGCTAAAACAAGATGTGAGTATTGACGCTACAAAACACTAGAGCCGTCGTTGATCACATAATATCAAAAAAACAAAAATTCAACAGCTAATTCATTATTTCACTAACTAAAAAATCATAGCAGAAGAGTGTGGACGCAATATTCCCGCGAACAATGTGAGTTCGCTGGGAAACCTTGGCGCCTCAAGTGTACAGATTTTCTGCTTACACAATAAATTCTTCCTCTCGGGACATTCAGCAAGTGTAATTTTCATGGTTATTATTCCTCCAGACAGTTACTGTAAGTGGTAGGTGAAGGAGAGAGATGTAAGGAATGGTAGGACAAGAGGGAGGCAATGTTAGATGGAGGGCAAGAGTGAGGGATAGAGAGATGGAAGGACTGAAAGAGCGATAGTGATATGAAGATAATGGAAGAGGGATAAAGAGAATGATTGGTAGAGAGGTGGAGGGAATGTAAGAGGGATAAGATAACAAAGAAAATGAGAAATGAAAAGGGATGCAAGGAATGAGAGTATGGGAGACGACGGGAATGGAAGATGCAGAGACGGAAGAATGAAGAGAGAATGACAAAAAAGACAGATGAAGGAAGTGGGTGAATAACGTACATTCATCACCACAATAACTGGAGAATCATCCACAGTGTCACTGCCAAACAGAGTAAAAATTGTCAACGGGATATGCATTACACATCATTCTTGAAGCGTTAAACATTTACGGGTCATTAAACTCACAGAGAGGAGACTCGAGCTTTGGTCGCCAATAGAGAGACGTCTTGACTAACGGTACTCCTGTTATAATTGTAACGGGATGTGGAGAGGACATATGCGGGGAAACAGGTGACAGGCAAAGGAGAAAATACAACGGGGAGGTCAAAGGAGCAACAGGAGTAACGGGAAGCAGGGGTCGAGGTGCGGGTGTTGACTTGTAAGTGAAATTAGTTTAATTTAGGTAATGTCAGCTTAAGTGAAGTTAGTTTAAGTTAGGTGATATTAGTTTAAGTTAGACATTGTGAACATTGTTGGAAGCAATACACTAACCCCCCCCCCTCCTCCTCCTCCTCCACCTCCCTTCCCTACCCAACTCCAACAGCAGTAATTGCAACAGCAACTGCAACAAGACCAACAGCCAAAAAGTGCAGCAGAAGCAGCAGCAACTCCACAACAGCAATATTTCCAGCATTAGCGGTATCAACAGCAACAGCAATATTGACAGCTTCAGCAGTATCAGCAACGGTAGTATCAACAGTATCAGTAGTATCAACAACGACGGCAGTATCAGCAATAGCATTAACAGTATTGACAGCATCAGCAGTATCAACAACGGTATCAACAGTTGTACCAATATCAGTATCAACAGCATTAGTAATATCAACAACAGCAGCAGTATCAAGAGTAGCATTAACACTATCAGCAGTATCAAGAACGAGAAAAGTATCGACAGCAACAGCAGTAACAACAGCATCAGCAATATCAACAGCATTAGAAATATCAACAACATTAGCAATTCCAACAGCATTAACAATAGTTGTAACAACATTAGTAGTATCAACAGAAGCAGCAGTAACAACAGCAACAGCATTACCAACATCAGCAGCAACAGCAATATGAACAACAGCATTAGCAGTATCAACAACAGCGATAGTAATATTAACAAAAACATCAGTATCAACAGTAATAGCAATATCAACAGTATTAACAGCAACAGTATCAACAGCAGCAGCAGCAGTATCAACAGCGACAGCAGCATCACAACCATCAGCAACATCTGTTAACAGTATCGAATGTATCAACAGCAACATCAGTATCAATAGCATCAGCAGTATCAACAGTTATAGCAGTATCAACAGCAACATCAATAACAGTATCAACATCAACACAACAGCAGTATCAACAACAGCAACAGTAGTACTCAAAACAACTAAAGTACCAACAGCAATAATATCAAGAGCAGTATCAACAGCAACAACAGTATCAACAGCAATAATACCAACAACAGTATCAACAGCAACAACAGTATCAACAGCAACAGCAGCAACAACAGTATCAACAGCAACTGTCACTCTCGTGCTGACACCTCAACAACGTACATATTACGCATACACTACACAAATAATCCTCTTTTCTGTTATTTATTTTTGACATACACTAACAACTGAATACTCTCATATTTTAACCACTTCTGACAATACTTATACTGGAATATATCACATTAACTTAGTCTTGTAAAGATGAATCATCTAAAGTAACATATGTGTCAAAAAGTAACGTCGAAATATGCAATAAAATCCAGCTCTCTTATTTATGTTTTGGTATAAATGTTTATATTTCACACATTTTTAATCAAAAATGAAAGCGGAATTAAGTGAATTAGCTTGGTGAGTATATCTTGTATACATCCTTCCGACGCGGCTGTGATAATAGGTAGAGTATGAGAAGTTGTGGGTTTTCAGCCTAGAGACACACGGCTGAGAAAGTCTGGTTGAATGTTTTTCCCCTGAAGTCTGTCTTTTAAGTGCTGAATGTGTCCATAACTTCAAACATTGGAATGAAACTGAGGCAAATGATGCAGCGCGAACGTTAGCAAATGTTTTTTTTTTTTTTGGAAGCAGAATTATAGCACAATGAAATAATCTGTCTGTTAATGTTGTAAACGTGAAAACAATACAGCGTGGGAAGGTTGCCAGAGCCTTCAGGACCTGATAAGTTACAGGGACTAGCAAGGTACAGTATAGAGTATGGTGAGGGAGGACAGGAGCGAGATGTTGCCTAGGACACTCACTACCTCACTCAACCACTCACTAAAACCCACAATGAAGCTCTTACGAACCATCATATACATCCAACAGATGAGGTAATCTGAAGTCAACAGATTCCCTATGCTTGTACAGGACGATCAGTTGACAGAAAGGCGGCCAATTTAATAATACTAATGATGGTAGAAAAAGATTGTGATAGTCTTATCAGAACTAGTGGTAACCAGTTCTGCAGGGGCTGCTACGGCTATTATGTTACTCTGCTAATGACAGAGTAACACGAGTTAAGACAGACAGTACTAATTAGTAGAACTAGTTGTAGTCTACATCTTCTAGTTACTTCCATGCTAACTTTTCAACATGATAGCGTTTATTTTTCCCCCTTTTATTCACGCCGGCGGTAAAAGGAGAGTGGAGGGTGGGAGAGAGCCTTCTGCTTTTCTAACCTCGAATAACAGATATGGCTAATACACGACAGCCCTTAATGTGCATAGAAACATAGTTCCTCTCAGTAGCTATTTATTTTACCTATGTACTCCCATGTACTATGAATTCTGACCCTATTCACTATTGCGATCCGTAGAAGGGGGGGAGGGGGTCGCGCCTGGGGAAGGAATGTAACCTGGCTGATCCGAGGAAAGGGAAAGTAATTACTATTCGAGAGCCCATCACCAGCACGAAAACAACCTCCCCCTCCCCCCCTCCATCCTTGAAGGAGTAGCTATCATTTATCTTCTATTGTTGTGGTCCCATTAACGTCAGTGTGTGTGTATCCACTCACTGAGTACACTCGCACGAGTGTCTGTATTTACTCGCCGAGTACACTCGCGTGACTATTAACTCTTGTTATTCAGCCCTCGCTACACCCCATAACCACTTCCTCGTAGGAATTCCCTGCGGTATCCTGCACAACACTCCGTCAAGATAATCCATTTAGCTAACTCCATGGCTAGGTGAAACTACTTAAGGACCTGGAGCAGGAAGGACTGGAGCAGGAACTACTGGAGCAGGAAGGACTGGAAGAGGAAGAACTGGAAAAAGGAAGGACTAGAAGAGGAAGGACCTACACCAGGAAGGATCTAGACCACAAAGGAGAGCAGAAAGAGAAGAGGTTTCCCGTTTTTCTCTCAAATACTGGCATTACATTTTTCTCCAGCTTCCTGGGCGACCCACAGCGCCGAGAACAAAACTCTAAACAGTGGAATTTTTCTCACGTTAGGCAGCATGAGCTACAAATTTCCACTTTCTTATGATGATTAATAAATTCAGGTGTTTAAATATGAGTGATTAAGTGGAGGAAAAAATCATTTATAAACGAGACGAGCTTCAGAGACGAGCTTCAGAGACGAACTTCAGAGAGGGGTCGATGCACTACACCAACGACAGATGACAAGGATTTACTTTTAAGAGGAAATAACGTGCCTTACCGAAGTAATCTTCCCACTTGCTGAACCACGACAGAACTCTACATAGCGCTGGATAACTGCACACCTCTAACACATTGATCACTGGATCTCTCTACATTCCTAAACCTTTACATCTCCCTTTAATACATTATCAGAACCCTCTGTTTCCTTACAATAGATCTGTGGAGTACTGGATATCCTTCTAACACTCTTTTGACCCCCGTTATACCCCTTAACTGTGTTGTGTCGTGAACTTTATATAAGAAGTGGGTTGAGCGTACATTGAGGTTTTTCGCACAGTTCTTATGAACACTGGCTGTGTCGGTGTAGTCATGCACTTGCAGATGCAAGACCACAGTTTCGACCACTAGTACTTCTTCCTAAATTTGTTACTCTCACTATAAGGTGAAATTCTCATCTCATATCTGTTGTTTATACTGACAAATCGATGTAATTCTGAGCAGGGATGTGAATCTTTCTTAATTAAAACCTAAGACATGGTACCACTTGCCTGTGCGTTGCTGCTCTACATGTGACGATACATACAAACAGATGCTTACATTTTTCATTGTGTATGAAATGAGCATTGACTTTAATCTCTGTCTTATAGATTAAATCATTCCTGACAGTATGCAGGCGATTTTCGCTCTTAATAACATTCTTGCAATCTATAGACCATAAATCTTACTAAATCAACTGCTGAATAGCGGTTGATTGACAAATATTTAACTATTAAGGATATTTAAAGATCTCTGTCCTCACCTGTGGCAAATCTATTGCACGATACAACATACATAACCCGCACATAGGAGAATCAACCTTATGACGACGTTTCAGTCCGACTTGCATCATCAACTAGAAACATCGTCAGGAGTTTCATTCTCTTGTGTTCATGTTATTTGTGTTATTGTTCCAGTTCCGGCATTGTGCCTTTTTATTCTTTCTCGCATGATATTCCAGCGGCAAATCTGAAACAATTTAGTGCGTTTGAGGTGTAAGATTCACTAGTTGAGGTGAGGCTATAATCACGTCGTGAATGTACTCTTGTTTACAGTTTCTCTAAAAAAATCATGTTATCACCGGGACCTCAGAATAGTGATCCGAAATGAGAAGTTAGTATTTCCTATACCAGGTGACAGATGGTGAAAGACCCAGCTGGCAACTAAGATGTCAGAGTAGTGCTTCCCACGCCCTCGACCAGCTCTGGTAATGAGAATATTTGATATTGCTACCATTATTATTAATGTGAATCCCTAAACTCGTTCAAGTCATTCAGCTTCATGGTCTGGAACAATATCGTTCCATACCATGGAGATGGACTCTTCTCTAGGCTGAGGGAGTGACCACTTCAAGTGCTTTTTCACCGCTACGCCTGCTGCTTTTGTATTTGACTGAGGAAGACTGCTATGTGGGTGAAACGTTTGAACAATAAAGATACCCAACTGTTGCTCATGTGTCTTAATCATTAATTTGTTGGTATTTTATACCATTTTCAACACGAGACACGATACCTAATATAGCAGTGGCAGACGCTCTCACCTCCAGTACTGACAACCTTAAATGATTAAGACACATAAGCAACAGTCGGGTATCTTTACTATTGAAACATTTTGCCAGCCAGCATGCTGACTGGCACTGTAAGAGTTGTGCTTCCTGGAGTCAGCTTACAATCAACTAGAGTGAATTTCAGCCGCTTGGTCCCCATCATATTTATGAAACTTTTGCATAGAATTGCATTCTCACACTTCATTCCACCTTTTTTTCCAGCCTAAGACCCAAAGTCTTCCTAACTTCCTTATAAATCATCGTGTTTAGCTTCCATCAATTTTCCCTACAACAATTTTCCCTTATTCTTGGTCCACACACTGTGTCCATATTCAACTCATAAATTCTTCGAAGTATCTAGTAGGTTGTAATCACAGTCGTAGGGTTCAGTGCCTATCTCCTCAGACTAGTCTTGTTGGAAGCTTCAGGTCTTTTCAAGCTTTTGGATGTGCTTCCTAAGAGCAGTTGTGGTAGTCGCTGGTCTCATACATTGTTGGAAATATACGGAAGATTTGTTACTCCTACAATTTGTTCTGTGAAACTCACTTTTAGATATTTTTCTTTCGTCAATGTTTGTAGCTTCTATCCTCCCATTTTTACATAATATTCTTCCTGTATTCCCTCTCCTTTCCTAATCTGTATTACATTTCACTTGTTCAGATTTATCTCCAGCAGATAATGGCCAAAGTTCTCTTGGACACTTTCTGTCTCCTCTCCCACGTACATACAAGTTCAAAGACATAAAAATTCATCCCCTCTTATGGTTCATTTACACATCAGTAGCAGCCGCGGGGAACTACACTTACTCAATACTTTATATATAATGGGTATAATTATAGCCTAAATTTTAAACGAGTGGACCGGTAAGCCAGGGAAAGGCCTCGGTCAGATAGCCAAAAACTCCAGCGATAGGTCATCATATAATTAAGAACCGCGTCGGAAAACACTTCGTCCCGTTTCCTGACAAATCTTACCTAACCTCCACTGACCCTCGCTCATCCAGACAACCTCCTGTACTGTTGTGTTCTATCATTCACTCCTTCGTCCAGTAGGCACTAGAGCGCACACATCCGGACACATTCTTGTAAGCTCTAAATAAAATCACCAATAGCTTCTTAGGGGAAAAATAATCTTTTGCCATTGAAGAGAATGTCTCGTTGCTGGCGAGAGCAGTAGCGGCGCCAGCTAGAGAAGCAAGGGTGGCCTCAAGAACCTCTAATAAAAACAAAAGCGCAGTGTGAAGACAAGTTAACTAACATCCTCCTCCCAATCACAGTGCCACAGCTAGCACCTCCTATACAGAAATTCTTGAGCCGCCGCTGGGTGAAGAGTTCTTGATCTAAGGAATCAGATATACCATCCTCTTACTGGAAACAATCTATTCCTCACGCGCTGCGTGACTTGTACTATTTTGCTTTTTTAAAATTATAATAACGCAAGTGTCCGCTATTTGCAGGATCTAGGTGGTCTGTGTACACTGTTGAGGCTATTTGCAGGACCTAGACGGTCAACGCATTGTTGTGGCTTATGACAGTCAGCAATAACGTTACATTACAACACTTTACTCTATTTTGTGTACATATTAGGCTTTGCTCAGATTATATGGGATTTTCCATGTTGAAAATTATTGTGCGTGAATTGACATTAATTACCACTGAGCGATACTAAATGTTATGAGCTGTAATTAGTTGTGACTGACTGATGCGTACTGGCTGTTCTTTATTTAGCAAAATTGGATACATCAGCAATGTGCTGCTATTCTATTCTATATGACAGTAACATAGTGCGAACCAAAGCAAACTGTTTATACATCACGTTACATCACGCAGGATGGATCACGGTGTAGAAATACGTCTGTGCTGGGAGACTTCAGTATGTCAATGAGGATATCGTTCAGTATTCTTGTATAAGTTCATCATGTATGGCAGCACTGAAGGCACCGTTCTAGCAGAACTGGAGTTACTAATACTAGCGGGAATTACTCATGTTAGGCCCCTGAACCACATAAATATATCACCCTCCCTTCTCCATTCCGCAAACTATCTTTGCCACAGCAACAACAACCATCACAATCTCCAAGATCATTGTCCTCATCGCCTCCGAGCCGTGTGGACGAGCTGCGCAGACGCTCCTGTTTGAGTTTGTTTTGCGCAGTTTACCTGATTGAGCTGCCCCTAGCGTTGGTTGGTGGAAACTTTATTTTCTCCAACATGGCGCTGAATAGCAGAAGAAGAATCAACACTGTCTGCATTGAGATGATCCGTGGTGCTGTCACAGGATCCAACATGGATTTATTATTACCAGCGATCATTCGCGATACCTATGGTATAGCAAATGAGGAGATATGTGGTGTCGCATTAAATGGAAATGACAAGAATCTTCGTTAAGGATGACGTCTGCACAAGTCTACGAGGCAGTGGTCGACAAGTATCAGGAGACCATCATACAGGTTAATACAGCTGTGTCGGTGAGACTTCATGATGTATCTCGACATTACACCTGGGTGAAAATCAGGAATGTGCCTTTTGAGGCGACTGAATTTTGATATTACCAGTGAACTGCGTACTTATGGGACGGTTCACGTAGCCACAGCAGGGAGATGGGCAACTGGACCGTATGCAGGTGCGCTGGAAGGCGCGTATACAGTTAAAATGACTCTTCGGCACCCTATTCCTTCATATATTGTGTTGAAAGAATTAAGGACTCAAGTCTATGTAACGTATGCGGGGCAACAACGTACGTGTCGGCTATGTGGTCATATGACCAAAATCGCGGCGCAGTGTGAGAAACGAAGTGGGTACCCGGCACAACAGCAACGGCAACAGCAGCAACAGCAGCAACAGCAGCCAGTGGACGAGGTTGGCGATGAGCGAGAACAGTCTCTTGCTACACCGCCCCAACAACGGTTGTCATGGAGTGAGGAGGTAGACAAAGAAAAGGAGCTTGAATCGCCAGTTTGTAACGCTACAAGGAGAATCTCAGTCATTGGGACATACATAAGGTTTTTTGAGGAGAGACTACCTAATATGGGTGAAGAAGTGGCGGCGTCTTTGGTAAAGGCGTTGGATGACTTGTTAGAGGAATCGGTCCTAGATCAGGTGGAAGACCCAGGCTCAGTTCTGGGGAAGGCTGTGAATGATGGGTATGGCAGAAGATGACGGTTTGTCGACGAGAGAGTCTACAGGATTGAAGGTGCATGCAGTAGAGGTGGAGGTGCATCAGGACGGTGCTCTGATGTCAAAATGCAGGTGGAGGGGCGGGACACGAAAGAGGACTGCAGCATCATCGGATTCTGATGATGTGCTCACTCCTGCCCAACGCCCTGGGAAAAAGTCTTGGGTGAAGGTACAGCAAAAAGGGAATGGTGAACCCAAGGATCAAGGGATTGCAAAGGTGATTCCCAACAAAGGGGGGAGGGACAGAGGTGTTGCAAAACGAACTGGGGTAAAGTCAATGCCGGGGACAAAAGGAAAACCCATTTGTTGAATTCAAGTGTTTTACTATAAATATTAATGGTTGAGAGCTGAGAGGAAGCTTAAGTGGTTTAATGAGTATTTGGTGCGACTTGGTGTGGATGTGGTATTCTTACAGGAACATAATTTTAGGCCTGGTTATGAGTTGGATATGAGTGGTTATAATGTGTACATGGAACATGCGACGCGTTTGAAAGGTGGGGCTGCCATTTTGGTAAAGGAAACTAGGCCCGTTTATAGTAAGGCGTAGTGAAGGGGGGGAGGGAGGGTAATTAGGGTGGATGGAACTTGGGGTAGGGTTCCCATTAGTTTAGTATGTGTATATGGTCCGGCTGAGGGTGACGTGAGTATTAAAACTAAATTTGTTCGGGACGTGCTGGTCTATTTTTTACGTGGTTTACCGAATGTTGCAATAATAGGCGGAGATTGGAATTGCGTGATAACGTCGTAAAGATGTGGAGCCCAGAGGTGCGGGGTGTTGTTTGGGTATATTGGGGGATATATTGACCGGGGTGGGGTTAAAGGATGTGTGTGGGGGGGGAGGGATGGTAGAGCATACCTTCATTAAACGAGGTTTATGCGGCGAGGTTGGACCGAATGAAACGTGCCTTGTGCGGTTACTGTGCGGAGGGTGGATGTGATAGATGTGGTTTTTTCCGATCATAGAGGATGTGGTAATAGATGTGGATATTGAGGGTGTGCCTCGGAGGGGTCCATCATTTTGGAAATTGAATGTAAGTTATTAAAGGAAGAGGATAGTCTTTTGTCTTTTGGACATATGTGGGATCGTTTAGTGGTAGAAGCTCCAGGGGATGTTGCCATGGTTAATTTGGTGGGAAACAATAGCTAAAAAACGTATTAAGGAATATTATATTAATCGAGGGAAGAGATATAATCAGTTACAATACGGTTTTCAAAAATATTTAGAGGGGCAGTTGCGCGAATGTTATGCACAAATTAATGCTAATTATCCTGTTATTGAAATTGAAAGTTTGAAGGAAAATATCCGGAATTTACAAAATGAGAGGTTTGATGGGGAAAGGCTTAAGGGCGGGATTGAGGGGGTTTTGTGGGGAGATCGGCCGTCGGCGTGTGTGTTGCGGAGTCAACACACACGTCGCAAGGCAATGGAGTTAATGGGGTTGAATGTTCAGGTAGGTATGCAAGGGTATAAAGTGGACCAGGTGTTGACGACGACTGAGGGTATGAGTGGGTATATTGATGCTTGGGTTAATTGAAAACGCAAAGTGTGGGAATAAGTGAAATAGCATTACAGTCAATTGGAAGGTTTGTGCAGTGTGAGTTGACAGAGCATGATCGATTCGTTTTGGAAGGGCCGATAACGGAGTGCGAGACATGGGTAGCTTTATCCGGGGCGCAATTAGGAAAGGCACCAGGAATTGATGGGTTGCCCAGTGACTTTTATCTCCAAAATTGGAGCGTTTTAAAAGAATTTTTGGTAAGATTATTCAATATCATTAAGCGGGATCGGGTTTTAGGGGCACAGCAGCGGATGGCTGTGGTCGTTTTAGTGCCTAAAGGTGAGCCATTAAACAGTTAAAGACTATCGTGCTATTTCGTTATTGTGTGGTGATTATAAGATTTTTGCAAGAATTTTAGCTAACAGAATAAAAAAGGTCCTGGGTAAAGTGATCGTTTAAAGGGACAATATGGGGTGCCGGGAAGG